GTCCTTAATATGTGTTATCATTGGCTATAATTATTATCATTGGAATGAATCTAGAATATTGGGAAATGAATGGGAAGATAAAAGGCAAAGAAGAGAGCTAGGAAGGTAGAAGTAATTCAGCTTTCCAGAATGTCTGTACTACCTTCTCAGGGACAGAGTACCTGGCTTTAGAAAAAAGCACTTTTAAAACAACTGAAAGAGGTTATTGATGCCCTCTCTCCTCTCTTTTTGAGATTCCAAACCTCAAGAAAGAAACACAAGTACTCCTGGATCTGCTTCCCGACAGAATTGGGCATGGGACATTTCTCAACTCCTCTGAGGGGGGATCCTTGGATCTGGTGGACTTTGTGAGGAAACACCAGATACCGCTGGGTAAGGCTTAGGGCTTCAGGTCCTTCAGACAACCCTGTGCCCCTTCCACCCCCAACCCCCATATTGCAACCCAGATGTAGAGAAGTTTTGTCCTAAATATATAAATATTATTTAGGAAGTAAAAGATACGGATAAGTGCTTTCTGAACCTCATTTAAGTAACACAAAGTTTTAGCTCCCATTAAAAGTGGTTCTCAACCTTCCTAATGCCGTGACTCTTTAATACAGTTCCTCATGTTGTGGTGACCCCCAACCATAAAATTATTTTCGTTGCTATTTCATAACTGTAATTTTGCTACTGTTACGAATCGTAATGTAAATATCTGATATGCAGGATGTATTTTCATTGTTACAAATGGAACATAATTAAAGCATAGTGATTAATCACAAAAACAATATGTAATTATATGTGTGTTTTCCGATGGTCTTAGGCGACCCCTGTGAAAGGGTCGTTCGACCCCCAAAGGGGTCGCGACCCACAGGTTGAGAACCGCTGCATTAGAATTTAAGCTCCATGAGAGCAGAGCCCTTCTCTGTCTTGTTCACTTTACATTCCCTAGTTCCTAGAACTCAATATTATACTGAAGGAATAAGGGGCATCTAGTATTTTGAAATGACTTTAACCAAATTAAGATGTGTTATGAAAATGTGTCACTTTTTTAAAATTAAGAATTATGGAAAATTCGAAGTATATTATTATATGTATGTTGACTGTTACACACTTGTTAGTCTACATGTGTATACCTGGAGCTGTTTTTGTTTAACAGCATATATTTATGAAATGCCTACTCTGTTCCGGTCACTTTTCAATTGCTTGGAATAGAGCAGTAAATAAAACAGACAAACAGGCTTGCTTTCTCAAGGAATTTATAGTCTAGCAAGTGTAAGACAGTAAACAAATGCACAAGAAAATATTAGTGTTAAGTTCTTTGAAGAAAATTAAACAGGCTGATATATTATGATGAGATAACCACTTTCGATTGGATGATCAAGGAAGGCCTTTCTGAAGAGGCAAAGAAGCAATGGACTGAAATCCAGTTTTACCGTATGATAAATTTGCTGAATTTACAAATTTACCAATTTGTAAAAACACTTGTTTGGGTATGCTTTTCTTAAAACTAGTTAGACTTTTCAGCAATTCATAATGGGTGAAGCTTTTTTATTTTTACTGAGGAAAATTTTAAACATCAACAAAAGTAGAGAAAATGGAAACTATAGTGATAGTGATCGTACTTGTTGTGGTGGCTCTCAGTGCAGTGAGGGGGCAGGTTGGCTTCGCCATTTCTTGGACTGAGTGTCGCTGTGTTGAGGCTGCCTTACCCAAGGGAGCAGACACCATCCATCAAGTCAGTGAAGTATTTTACTCTGCCTAGGGAGCCTGGTACAGTTTCAAGGCAGGAATTTGTTAATAGAAGTCACTCTTAAGATGGATTGACTTGCAGCAGGCAATGATTGGATGGTTGTCTGACTAAAAGAAGTAAGGGGTTTTCTTTGAAACCTTGGAAAAGTTCCATTTCTGCTTTTGGCTTTTTATAATGCTGTAACTCAAGCAGTTCTGCCATTATCTGACCGTTATTTTAGCCTCCACATATAGACCAGGGAGAGTGTAGCAACCCTTCAGATAATTCCCTGGCTTCTTTATCGTGACTGGCTTACACATTCCTCTCTTCTCTCTTGTTAAAAGAAAGGGGAAGCGCATGGCCGTAAAGGGAATATTAATTCCCTACCTGCCACAGTTGCTGCCGTAAGTTGCACATATTTCCCACACAACCACACTAATTGAACTACAAATTTTTACACAAGAAAAGGTCAACTTTTAAAAATATATTTTTTATTGATTTTTTTAAAGAGAGAGGGAGAGAGAGAATCGTCAATTTAGAGCAAAACTTGGATCGGCTGCCTCTTGCATGCCCATACCAGTGTCAAGTCCGCAACCTGGTCATGTACCCTGACTGGGGATCAAACCAGCAACCTTCCAGTGCCCGGGATGATGCCCAACCAACACCACACCAGCGAGGGCAAGAAAAGGTCGATTTTGTAAAAGAATGAACTACTGAAAATTAGCATAGTTTAGAAAGATTTCTCATGTATCTACTTGATGATTGAGTCTACTAATCTGCTTTTAATAAAAGGTTTTTTCCCCCTTTCCTGTAGAACTCTGTTTGACCTCAAACATCAAAAGTCGGACAGTTCCATCTTATGACCAGCATCATTTCGGATTCTGGTACAGCATTGCCCATCCTTCTGTGATCTGTGTAAGGTGTTTTCTGTGAAGTATTTTGCTCCTTTTTAGGTCCTGAGTTGCTTTAGGTCAGACATTCATTACCTAGTTGAGTGCCTTGCATGCCTGAGGGTAATAGAGCCCACATAGAGGAGTGAGAGAGGACTGGGGCATGAGAAGCTACAAAGGGCCAGGGTGACTGGTTTGGCTCTAAGGGAAAAGATCCTGGACAGTAACTAGGGGAACATTAAAAAAAAAAAAATAGTGCCTTAGCTGGTTTGGCTCATTGGATAGCGTGTCGGCCTGTGAACTGAAGGGTCCGGGGTTGATTCCAGTCAAGGGCATGTACCTCTGTTGTGGGTTCAATCCCTGGCCCTGGTCAGAAGGCAACCAATCAATGTGTCTCTCTCACATTGATGTTTCTCTCTGTGTGTCTCTCCCCCTCCCACTCTCTCTAAAAATCAATGGAAAAATACCCTCCGATGAGGATTAACAACAACAAAAATAGTGATGCCTGGCACCGATCCCTTGAGATTCTGCTTTATATAATCAGGGAAGTGCCCTGAGAACAGATATGTTTTTAAAGTTCCTTAGGAGATTTTAATACGCACCAATGGTTAGAACACTACTCTGGTGTTTGTTGCTTGTTTAATCCTCACCCAAGGATATATTTTTATTGATTTTATTTTTTTATTGATTTCAGCGAGGAAGGGAGAGGGAGAAAGAGAGAAAAACATCAATGATGAGAGAATCATTGATTGGCTGCCTCCTGCATACTCCACACTGGGGATCCAGCCTGCAACCTGGGTATGTGCCAGGAATCAAACCCGTGATCTCCTGGTTCATAGGTTGATGCTCAACTACTGAGCCATGCTGGCCAGGCTGTTTTTATTGATTTGAGAGAGAGAGGAAGGGAGAGAGACAGGGAAACATGGATGTGAGAAACATCAATCCATTGCCTCCCCGCACACACCCCGACGGGATCAAACCTGCAACCTAGGTGTGTGCCTTGACCAGGAATCAAACCCACAATCTTTTGGTGTATGGAATGATGCTCCAACCAACTGAGCCATTTGGCCAGGGCTGGGGCTTTTATCTTTGTGTGTTTTTTAATGGTAAACAAGCCCCTTTAGTTATAGCTAGGCATAGATGTATTTATAGGTCCCTGTTTAGACTCTTAAAAGAAGCATGGTGAATAGGAAAATAGACTAAAGAAGAGTTGTTTTTAAAAATCATTTCCTTGTTCATTTTGAAACTTTCTTGCTTATCTTGGCAGACTGACGATAAGGGTGTTTTTGCAACACACCTTTCCCAAGAGTACCAGCTGGCAGCTGAAAATTTTAATTTGACCCCGTCTCAGGTATGGGATTTGTCTTATGAATCCATCGACTACATCTTTGCTTCTGACAGCACCAGGTCTGAACTGAAAAGGAAGTGGAATCATCTGAAACCCAAAGTGTTAAATTTTTAAGCTATAATGAAGTGAATTACTTTTGAGTATGTGTTGCAACCAAGATCTTCCTGCCATATTCCTTTTAGTAAACCATCCACCTCTCATGATTAATTCCTCTGGAATCAAGTTATTGGTTTTTTAAAAATATTTCTGCCTTTCTCTTCTCTTATTTTGACCATAATGGAGCTGTGCCAGCCAGATACTTCTTGAGCTGTAGGGTACTTTAAGCTTCTATTTCCAACCTTTATTATTTTTTGTCACACACACCCCCTCCTCACTCCACCCTCACTCCCTATTTTCAGCCTTTAATCTGATTTCCAGTTGTTCCAAAGTTTTGTTTCTGAAATAGCCCATGATGGGTGTTGGAGGATTTAAACTAACTAAAATATCTCCATATAATATCTGTTATTTTAAGCACCATGATGTTTCTATCTCTCCTTCTCCCTTCCTTTCTGAAATCAATAAAAATCTATATATTTTTTAAAAGGCAGGCAAAGATTTATCTCTTCCTACCAACAACTTACTCATAATTTGCGTACATATATGATATGTGTGTGTTTGTGTGTATATATATATATATAACACACACATACACATACACTAGAGGCCCAGTGCACGAATTCATGCAGTAGTGGGGTCCAGCCGGCCCACCTGATGGGAGCCATTGGGGGTGGGCCAGCCGGGGCGAGGGTCCGTGGGCAGTTTGCTGGCTGGCCCTGCCTCCAATCAGGGTGTGTGGGCCCACTTAGGGGCGGGGCTGGTGGGGGGGTCATTCTGCCGTTTGGTCAATAGCATATTACCCTTTTATTATATAGGATGTGTGTATCTGTGTATATATATACACACATACATATATGTGTGCGTGTGTGTGTATATATATATGTGTGTGTATATATATGGTGTGGGGGTTTTTTTGCACATATATATTTTTAAACATACCTGAAGAAACACTGGGTACTTTATAGATATAATCTTTATTAACATGGTATCCCTGAGAGGCAAATTAAGGTATAAACATTATCCCACTTTACAGAAAAGGAATTGGAAGCAGGTTGGCTTACACATAAGACATTTGGACCCAGAATTCATATCTGTTGATACCCCAACCAGTGCTTTCCCACAAGACTATACATATACTAAATATAGTAACCTCTCATTTTAAAAAACATACTTCTCTAACCAAATCAGATCTGAAGCATTGCTTTAGACTGGTGTTTCTTATATCTTCCTGTCTGCTTAGGTAATATAATTGAGATACCATCTCCCTTTAATTACTAATAAATGTTAGAGTCCTTGTACTAGGAACCCTCAACATCAGAACCCTAATTCATCTCTCATCTAACACAGGAAGCTATGAATTACAGAATATTCTATCTCCCCACTCCTCTCCCCAATCTCATTCCAGCCACAGAACTCGAATTAAATGTGAATGTGATACAGCTACATATCCTAGGCCTTGGCCATCTGTTCACATTCCTCTTTCCTGACTTAACCATCAAAGTATCTTCTCAAGATACTACCTTTTCTGACCTTTGTCTCCCAAAGGAGCTAGTCTACTGCAATTGCTCATTCTTCTCCAGTACCAGCTGTTTCCTTACCAATAACTGCAGCACAGCACCTGACTTAATACAGATGATGGGAGCATCACCTCCTGATCTGCCTCTGGCACTCCATGCTTCAGCTGAGGCGATTCTTTCCCTGTCTCCTGCACAGCCCTATTCCTGAAATTTTGTGCTGCTCCAACCTTTGTCCAAACTTCCTTACAGTCTTTCATTTGCCCTCTGCTCCATCTGCACAAAACACTTTATGTTCCCATTTCTCATTCACTTAACACTCAGTTTAGAAAAGTTCATCCCATCCTAATTTACCCAATAATCTCCCCTCCTTTGAACACCTGTTTTATGAAGCCTTCCTGAACAAAAGGCAAATACCTCTCATATTTTTGACAGCAAATTCGAATACATTAGATCTTAACATTTATGCAGTGTTACTACCTAGCTTTAAAACTTTGCAACTATACATGTGTACTTATTTTTTTGTCCATGTCAGTGTCATTTTAGATTGTAAGGACAGGGACTGTTTAATTTGTGCTGAACAGGGCTCATCACACTCCTATGAAAATATGGGCAACTGATGGAATACTATTTGATTATAAAGATCAGAAGTACACTGTGTTTAAAGAGCTGCTTTTCAAAACAGATTTATACAGTTGAATATATGCATGTGTGTGTGTGTGTGTGTGTGTGTGTGTGTGTGTGTGTATTGGACTCAACTGATCAAAGATCATCTGTCCTCCTTGCCATTAAGGTAAACAGTTGCTGGTTTGGTCCGTCTTCCCAATCCATGGCAATGTGGCAGTGGCCACTGCTCCTTGTAGGTTAGTATTGAGCACCCACGGGGAACCTAACAGTAGACTATGTGTTTGGAGTGTGTAGAATATAGAGAATTCCCTGTTGGCAGCTTTAACTGCTTTCCCAATCATCTCATCCAGTTGCCTTGCTCTTTGGGCTTCAGGATCAAGGGACAGATGAGATTCAGATGAAATGGACAGAAAAAAATTAAACTAGATGATGTAAATGGAGTGTTTTTCTATTCCAGATCTTATAGGACCTGAAAGAAACTAAGACATCCAGGGTTTATACTGCAATATTTATGCAAGGTTTACATTGTTTCCCCATATAAAACACCTAGGTGAGAACCAAGATGGACATTAGACTCTCCTGTAAGGTAAATAAAGAGTTTGTACGACAAATATAAAGGCTCCTCTACTTACGATGGGGCTATGTCCAGATAAGCCCATCATGAGTGGATTATTTGTAAGTAAAAATGTCCTTAACATACCAAACATCAAAGCTTAGCCTAGATGACAGTTTCTATTGAATGTGTATCATATTCACACCATCACAAAGTTGAACTATTGTAAATTTGGGACGACCTGTATTTCATTCTGGGCACAGGCTTAAGTGAGCAGGAAGAGTCATTCCTTTTTGTATTCCCATTACTGTATAAAGAGCTAGACCTACTTAATGAGAAAAGTTTCACAACTTCTCTCTGAAATGCTGCTGAGTAACAGGATGAGTAAAAAAGGGTACATGTTAGAGGATCTACTACTGTGCCTCTCTGTTAAGGAAACAGGAGAGGGATTGAAATCTTTCTTGCATCCTTAAGACGACTGCCTTGGGAATTTGATCCAGGAGAAACTGGAACAAACTCTGGGGTAAATCCTAGAGTATTTCCTAGGCTAGTTGAGCACAGATAGGAGATGGATCTCACCACCATTGAAAGATTTTTCAAACAGTTTCAATACATTTATTGAGGTTCTTTTTTTAAAAAAATAGATTCTCAGTGGCTTACTTAGGCATTGATTGTTTCAGAAGTTTTTCTCGTGTATGAATTTCTCTGTGCTTATTCAGAGCAGAGCTTTTACTGAAGCACTTGCCACAATCATGACACCCATAGGGTTTCTCTCCTGTGTGGGTTCTATGATGTGCACGCAAATCAGAGCTCTTACTGAAACTCTTTCCACAGTCAGGACACACATGGGGTCTCTCTCCTGTGTGTATCCTCCGATGTGCACTAAAATGAGAACTGTTATTGAAGCTTTTTCCACACTCTTCACATTGATAGGGCTTTTCTCCTGTGTGGGTTCTCTGGTGAATTATAAGGCTTGAGCTCTGATTGAAACGTTTTCCACACTCACTGCATTGATATGGTTTCTCTCCTGTGTGGATTCTCCTATGGGTGATGAAATTTGAACTGTCACGGAAACTTTTCCCACAGTCAAGACACTTATAAGGTTTCTCTCCAGTGTGGATTCTCCGGTGTCTAATGAGGCGTGCACTCCGACTGAAGCTTTTCCCACAGTCAGCACATTTATATGGATTTTCCACTTGTTGGGTTATCTGATGCATGAGGTGGGAGTTTGGACCAAAGCTTTTGCCATATCTAAGATATTTATTGGGTCTCTCTCCCAAGTAAGGTCTCTGATGACTTAAAACTTTATCCAAACTTCTCTCTGGGAGTGTGGGTTTTCCTCTTCTTTCTCCTGGGGTCCTTTCCCAGTGTCTTCCTGATCTACATTCACTCTCACTGCCTTTACTGTGATTAAGGTGCCGGCAAATTTTCCTTTCAGACCTTGCAAGTAATGTCCTATGTAGTTGTACTTCCTCAGAAATATCCCGTTTTAGATTCTCTTCATTCTCAAATCCAGCCTCAAAACCTGCCATGAGAATATAATTTTTAAAGTTATCCATTTCCTTAATGATTCTTTGCCAAGGTAAAATAAGTGTCACACTAGATAATTAAAGATTAAAATTAGGGGGTTCTAGATCCTAAACAATAAACATCTATTAAAATTTCAGTGTTTTACTTTTCTCCTTGGTAACCTATCACACATTTCTCATCTACATAGGGCTCTTTAGTATATTCTTTTAATTCTTCCTGGATACCCAGGATCTTCAGAAAATCATCTCAGTATAACAAGAAGAATCTGCCAGATTTTAAAAATTATCACCATGTTTATACAGGAAAGACACATTCTAATGCTGTATTTTTGCCTCTTCTCAGGCTATTATGGTACTCTAGTTTATGTTCTTTGCCAGTAACTAAAGGGATTAGAAGGGAATGTCCAGGAAAACTCTGGAAAACTTGTATATCCAAAAAGAGTTATATGTGTCCCCTTCTGCTCAAATTCCAATATATGTTGAAAATAAAAACAGGGTAGAAGACTACTTGGTGTCTTCCAAAGAACAGTAAGCCTTCTAAGAGAAGAACTGTGCTAGGAAGTGTCTCACTAAAAACATTCTCTTTGCCTATGGAAAGCTAATCACTAAATGCTCCTAAAGCACTTACCCTAATGCCAAAGTTAAGAACCAAATGCCAGGCTCCCCAGGCCTAGGCTTTGTGAACTTGCAGATACTTGCAAATTTTTAGTTTGAATTTACAGAATTTTCAGATATTTCAGATAAACTCTGGATCCCAAATTTCCTGGACTAAATCTGAGAGCAAAAGAATGCTGAGTGTCAGCTTGTGTTCTACCTGTCAGCAGTATTTCTATCTAGAAGCCAGGTCTTAAGACATGCCCCGTGAAATAGAGGTTCATCAGATTAAATGAAATCGCAGAACCTTAAATATGTAAATTTTTTGTGATCCTCCATGAGGGATTTTTAGCATTTCCTAAACCTAGAAGCCATTTTTTAGTGGAATATAGTAACACCCCCACGGAACCCATGCTCCATGGAACAACCTTAAAGAATGTTGATATAAAGAACTTTTGGAAAAGAAAACTGCTCTTTATTGAATACTTACCATGTGCCCAAGCATTGGCTAGGACTAGGTGCTTCACCATGGTACCTCATTTATAGCAACTTTTTGAGGTAGGTCTTCATAGATAAGTAAACTTACAGGATTAGGTTCTAAGTTACTCAACTTATAACCAACAGAGTCCAGATTCACATACATATACAGGGATGAGCAAATGTAGGTTAATAGTTGTGAGTATGCAAAACAATTTATTCTTGTATTATTTATTAATTATTATATTATTTATTTGTATTAGTCATATTATTTCATATCCTTATTTATAATTTATCTTTTAGGTATGATGGTTGGTTACTTAACCTATTTTTGCCTACCCCTATACATGTATGACTCCAAAATCAGAATTATTCTTCCCATGAGGGAAGCCATAGTGAAGTATTCTCTTCATAATACTTCAGCTAAGATTCAAAGGTCAATTCTTTCAGAAATCTCAAACTTTTGCATAAGTGTGTCTAAAGAAAGAGGTTACCAGATTTTCAAATATGTATATAAAACAGACATACAGCTGGTATGTAAGCTGAAACAAGAACAAACAAACAAATGAGAATGAACTTTTAAAATCAACTTCATCCTATTATGGGTACATGAATGCTACTGGGAAATGTTAATTTTCCAATTACCTGCTAGGTAAACTGCCTAGAAACCTAGCAGCTCACATATAGATGATAGCAAATTTACAAAGTTTGCAATCATCTTGGATTGAGGCAAGTCAAGTGAGTAATTTATTTCCCCTCACTAAACTGCTTTAACAGACAGGGCACATGGGGAAGAGATGGGTGGTCACAAGAAGAATCCATGGGAGCTGGGTGTTAAGAGGCTTCAATCTCATGATGTGTTTTCCTAAATCCCACTGCCTCCCCTTTGCTATTTAGACCTTAAGAAGTAAAAGGATCTTACCACTGGGGCTCTGGAATAAGACTGGAGCACGTGTCATGACAGCCCCCGGGGGTAGCTCAGTATCCTCTTCATCATCCTCAGAATCTTCTTCTGAGGCCTCTTCTGCCTCCTCAGCTTGCTTCTCAGTTTCAGCCTCACTGGTCTCCTGGATGGTGCAAGAAGCTATGTCTTCTTCCTGGCCATCACTGGGTGGGGCAGCAACCCGAGCACTCACCAATGCATCCATCTCTTCAAAGAAGGGACAGGTCTCTGCTGCTTGGCCATTCTTGACTTTCCGATAGCTGGTTTGTAGGCTTTTAAACTTGGTCCGACATTGCTCTGGTGTCCTAAGGAACCCATATTCCCATAACCGCTCAGCCACTGCTCCATACAACTGGCTGTTGCGGTGACAGTTCCGAAGGGCTTCATAAAACTGAGTCTCACTAAGAATTGCAAGGTAAGTCTTCGTCTCTTCATAGCCCCAGTGTACACCTGCCACCAGAAGAGAAATTTCAGCACCAGGGCTTTATAGCCTCAATCCCTTAATCATATCATCTGCATCTTTCAAACATTCTTTGAAAGTTTCCCACAGAATGACTCAAAACCCCAAGAAACAGTCTCTTTTAAAATCACACTACTGCCTAAACTCTTATTATGACCCTTCTTCACTTGCCACAGTATCAAAAGAAAAAAAGAAACAAGCCCAGCAAAGACCTGAAAGGGTACAAGATAAGGACCTTGTCGTTAGGAGAGGACTGGCAGAAGGAGGAAGGGAGCGGAGCAGATAGCATCTCCTGGCCTGAACACATGCTAGTGCTGCAGGCCCCACCTGGGCAGTGCTTCATCAGGGTGATTACAGACCCTGCTCCCTGAAGGTAACCAAGGTAGAGGGAAGGGAGATTCAAAGAGTTTTCTTCCCACTTGAGAGCCAGCTGGAGTTTACATTGCTTCTATTACCATCCACTCACTGAAAAGTAAAGAAGGGAAGGGGGGACATGGGGACCATCTGTAATATCCTCAACAATAAAAAATGTTAAAACTGTGTGGGGGGAGAATCAGAAGACAGAAAAAGCAGTGGAAAGGATGAAAAGATAATGAAAATTATAGCAGCTGACACATGTGCCACGTTTGTGGTTTACTTACATTTATTCCAGTGACAAAAGAAGGAAAATGAATGGGGGGGGAGGGGAGGAAAAAGTAGAAGATAGGAAGCTGATTAGAACAGAACTAAAGTAACATCAAACATATAATTTAAGAAATGGAAGCAAAAGATCACTGTTCACAGTGCAACTAAATTTGAGATGTAGTCCTGTTGCCATTCCCCATTTTACAGTTTGGGAAACAAACTTTGAAATGGCCAGGTAACTGACTAAGGGCATTCAGCTGATTAGTGGTCAGGGTTAGAAACAAACCTCCTGACTGGTACTTTGGTGCCCTTTCCATAACAACATGATTGTAAAAATTATATTAACAGTAATAAAGGATACTTACAAAACTGTTCCACAGGCAAATGATATTTCAACATAGAGTGTTAAACAAGATTTCTTGCTGCAGGACTTTTCATTCCTCTTAAAATGCCAGTGTGTTGTGAATCTCATAGAGGAGACTCAGAAAATGTTTCCCTAACTTTGGGCAATCCTTCACTATGCTATTTGAAGTAAAAAGGAACTAACTTTGAGATTTGGGGGAGTAAAAGATAAAGCACCAGTTCATATAAAGTTCTTAAAAATAAAGTAGTGCCAAGTTTTTTTTCAAACTTCAATTATTTTATAACTAGAGGCCTGGTGCACGAATTCATGCACCAGCGGGGTCCCTCAGCCTGGCCTGGGGGATCGGGCTGAAACCGGCTCTCCAACATCCCCCCAGGGGTCCCAGATTGCAAGAGGGTGCAGGCCAGGCTGAGGGACCCCACCAGTGCACGATTGGGGCTGGGGAGGGACACGGGAGGTTGGCCAGCTGGGGAGCGACTGCAGGAGAGCTCCAGGGCATGTCCAGCCTGTCTCACTCAGTCCTGATTGGCCAGACCCCAGCCGGAGCGTCTGCCCCCTGGTGGTCAGTGCACGTCATAGCAACTGGTTAACCGGTTGACTGCTCCCTGGTGGTCAGTGCATGTCAGAGCAAGCAGTTGAGCGGCCTTAGCATATCATTAGCATATTATGCTTTGATTGGTTGAACGGAAGACCGGACACTTAGCATATTACCCTTTTATTATATAGAGTCAGGAAAAATTTTTAATTTTTAAAAATGGAAGCAATGATATTCCTTTTCAGGACTCTCTTGAATTTTCTGAGTGTATTTCTTTAAAATACCTAAAATTATTCCCTACTCTTTATTATATGACTTTCCCACAGAATGAAATATAATGGAATTGAGAAGTGCCTCTCTGTTCTCTGTAAGTGGCAAAGTTGGCAGGTGACCTTAAGCTTCATGACTCCACATCCAGGCTCATAACTCCTCAAGTCTAATCCCAAAACCCCGTGGTTCTCAACCTTCTGGCCCTTTAAATACAGTTCCTCATGTTGTGACCCAACCATAAAATTATTTTCGTTGCTACTTCATAACTGTAATGTTGCTACTGTTATGAATCGTAATGTAAATATCTGATATGCAGGATGGTCTTAGGCGACCCCTGTGAAAGGGTCGTTTGACCGCCAAAGGGGTCGTGACCCACAAGTTGAGAACCGCTGCCCAATAAGAAAAGCTTCTTACCACTTGGGCTTCGGTAAAGGACAGGTGCAGTCGAATTGTTGGGGTCCTGGGGGATGGCTTTCTCGCCCATTTCATCACTGTCAGACTCTTCTGCTGTGGCCTCTTCTTCTCCCTCCTCATGCTGCCAATTCCCTGGCCCTGGCTCCTCAGTCTCAGCATCGCTGCTTGCCAGGCCAGAGTGAGAGGCTGCCTCTTCCAGGCCATTACTGGGCAGGGCAATGACCTGAGCACTCATCAGGGCTTCCATCTCTTCAAAAAAGGGGCAGGTCTCAGGTGGGTGGCCACTCTTGACTTTCCTATAGCTCTTCTGGAGACCTTTGAACTTGGTCCGACACTGTTCCAGGGTCCGGAGGAAGCCATACTCCCGGAGCCGTTCAGCCACAGCCCCATATACTTGGCTGTTTCGATGACAGTTTCGGAGAGCCGCATAAAATTCAGTCTGACTGAGAATCGCGAGGAGAGTTCTGGTCTCTTCATAGCCCCAGTGCACACCTGCCACCTTCTCATCCTCAAAGCCCCAGTGATCCTGATCCACCCAGCTGCTTTTCTCTCTCCTGGATGGTAACAGGTCAGCATGCATTTGTCTGTCTCCTGTGAGACTGCCTCTTGGGAGTTCCTTTTCCTTGGAGCCCAGATCTGGGATCCAAGGCTCTCCTTGCTCCAACCTGGAGACCACACCAGATTTAGGAAATGGAAATCCTGCTTGCAGGAAAGCAAACAAAGGATGTCATAATTTGGACTGATCAGGAAAAAAAATACCTGAGTTCAGACCTGCCTTTTTTATCCAAGAGGCTTATAAAGAAAGTGGCTGCCCAGCCAGTATGTATGGCTCTGTGGTTGAGCATCAACCCAGGAACCAAGAGATCAAGGTTCAATTCCCTGGTCAGGGCACATGCCAGGTTGTTGGCTCAATCCCCAGAAGGGAGCATGCAGGAGGCAGTCAACTGATGTTTCTCTCTCATCGATGTTTCTATCTCTCTGTCCCTCTCCCTTCCTCTCTCTCTAAAAAATCAATAAAAATATAGTTTTTAAAAGTGTCTAAGGAAGTATTTTCAGAAAGTGCAATGTGTTGAAGAAAATGGGGGAAATACATGAAACCTCAAAAAATGAGAACTATTTATTTTCCAGAACAGGGTGATGAGAGGAAAGCTTCTGTTGTATGTCAGAGCAGATAATTCTGTTCCAAATTGCTCCCAAGCCCTCCTGACCACTTGTAGGCAGGTCATGGCACTGCTGGGAAGTTACCTCCCGTCTCCTATATTTCTCCACTCGGGGCTAGAAAATTAAACTCAGATTTCAAGGGGGAGGGAAACAGAGGGGAAATCGTCCTCAACTCATCTGTTTCCTTCACACTCAGTCACCAAGTTCTAAAGGTTTTTCCCTTACTATATCCTCTATTCCTACTGCCACCATCCAAGTCTAGACTCCTCACCTTCTCACTCCCAGCTACCTGCAGCAGTCACTGTCCTACCTAGCTCCAGGCTCTTGCTTCCTCAGCTCACATGCTATATACTGCTGGATCTTAACCTGAGTGCCTACTATGCACTGTCCATATCAGGCTCTTCCCCTCCTATCCAAATTTAACCCATTCTTCAAGCTGTATTTGCCAATGCCCCCATGAAGCCTTCCCTACAGCCCTCCATCTTCCACTCTGTCAAACTCCTATTATGCTCACACAATTGAGTAACAAGTTATTATTTAGCATTGTTTCAGTACAGTTCAGTCAGCACATATTTATGTTTGCTGTTATGTTCTCAATCATAAGCTCTTTAAGGATAGGCATCTTTCCTTATTGCAGAATGCCTTGCAAGGTGTTGAGCACATGGCAGGTGTTCACAAACTGATTAATTCTACAAGCCTAGGTGGGGGGTTGAGGGATTGCATCTGGATGACTAGAGACCAGAGAAGGCTCGCTGAGAAGGCTAGCATCTTGAATGATAAAGTCAGAATTCAGAACAATCTCAACAAGTTAAAGAAATGATAAAAGAAAAAAAAATCATACAATATGGATTTTACAGAGTACAAAGAAGAAAAACAAGCTCTACAAAATCATGTACAAGAATAAGTACTAGACGCAAAGACAATGGGGAAGGCTATGAGAGTCCTAGGAATTACCAAGTGAACAATAACATTAAGTAATTAGTTGAGCTATACTGAAAGAAAATAGTGAAATTCTGAAGTAAAATTCTTACTCTGCCTTAACCTATCAGACCCTCATTAGAATAATACACATAACTTAGTTCTCCATAATTGACATATTTGTAGAACTTAAAGTTTCCAAGGGAAAGTAACAAAAACTTAGTATGTCAGAATAATGGAGTTTCTGAGGAAAAGCTTAAAGAAACAAATACAATTTATTTTGGAAAAGGAAAATGATTAAAAGGAAGATATACCTTCAAGTATAGAAAATACATTTTATCTAGGAAATACTGACCTAGTACCATCATTACCAAGAGGAAATAAATTCGTTCAAAGTTCTGACAAAAACTAGGGAACCATTCTCTGGCAGACTTATCAAAAGAGGAAATATAAGAATACTTTCTGCAGCAGAGAGCTAACCTATCTGCCTTCAGGAGGTAACCAACACCACATACTCTATTGTTACTGCTCATTCCTAAATCCCTTTCCCACTCACTATTCCCAAACCCCACTTCCCAACTTAGAATGGCATCCTATCTTCCCATGTGAATCTACTCCTCACCGCTCCTTTGAAAAGGTCTGAGCTTCTCCTTTGGGTTCATCTGCTCCTGTGGTCCCAGGACTGGGCTTCTTGCCCTCTTTTTCTTGGGTACACCCCTGGACTGAGGTTCCACTGACTCCTGCTGAACACTTAATAACTCTCGTGATGATTTCAGGGGTGTCATCTTCTCCAAGCGTACTTCCTGCCCCTTCACAGAGACTGTGACCTAGAAACAACCCCCATTAATGGTCACTGCAAGGTTATTATGAGGGGCCTTCCCAGAAGAGATTATTTAATACCCCGCAAAAAAAGACCACCATCCTTTGGGGACATGGCTAGGGTTGTGGTTGGTGGTGGTAATAGCCAAAGGAGTCATTCTGATTCCATTACTGTTAGCTTAGAGCAGCTGGGACTCCAGAAGGCAAAGATCAAAATAGTAAACCCACTACAGGCTAAAACATAAATCCCTTTTCTTCCCAATTAAATAAAACAATCTATGAATAACTCATGATGACAGGGTAGCAAAGATACACCCAGGTAGCATCTCCAGATAAGCTGTATTTGAAAAAGTTACCTGTTCTGCGACCAGAAGTATAAGCATTACCAAGGGAGATTGTGCCCCTCTTTAAATGTCTGCACCTTAATTTGGCCCCTTAACCTTGCCCCTGCCCAGTCACACACTTGTGAGTTCCCCTCCCTTCTCACCGAGCGTCCAGGTCTTCCAGGCTCTCTTTCTAAATCTTCCACCAGAGCCACAGCCTCCTCTCCACTTTCCGGACATTGCTCCTGTGCCCACTTCTGGATCTCCCCGGGTAAGATGGTCAGGAACTGCTCTAGCACCAACAACTCCACCATCTGCTCCTTGGTGCGCACCTCCGGCCTTAGCCACCGACAACAAAGTTCCCAGAGTTGGCTGAAAGCCTCCCGGGGCCCAGCTACCTCGTGGTACTGAAATTTCCTGAAGCGCTGTCGTGAGGTCTCCGAGCTAGTGCCATTCCCTCTCTGAATGGGTTTGGCCATTATTCGCAGCAGAAAGCGGCTTCCCTCCACTTAAGGGTGTGGGTTCCGGGGCTTACACCTATCTTCCCATGTCCCTGGAGAATCACCTGCAGATGAGGCTCTCTGCAAGAGGCGTTTTTTCCTAGGGTAGAGAGAGATGGCACTATCAGAAGGAATATATTCACACGTCTAAAGCCTTGCCAGAGCTGGCCTGACTTCCCATCTATATGCTCCATGTGGCCATCTGAGGTAGCACCGACTTCAGGATAGCAAGCCCAAACTGAGCCTGGAGAGAAGACTTGCAAAAGCTGCATTTCCGGGCGACTTCCCAGGGCCGCCTGGCAGAACAGCAGAGAAGAGAACATAGTCTGCTCTTCTCCCCCACCCCCCAACTCTGATCCCATTTAGCTCCTCTGCCAAGGTCGAATTGTGAGTTCGAACCGTATGGGAGATCTGGAGCTCAGCAGCTAAAGGCAAGTCACCATCCTGCTCACGGCCACACAAAGCCTCTGTCCAGCGGGTCGCAGCTGATCGCCCCCGGGCTCTCTACGGCCGCCCTAACCCCTGGACTCCACAACTACCAATTCCCACCCCCAGACAAAAATCAAGTACTGAATCAAATACTGGGTCTTGGCTTGTCCTCACAGCAGAAGTGACCGCTCGGTAAATATTCGGGAACTACTGACGGGAAACCTCCCGACTGGAGAGGTTGGTTTTGGCTCCTGAAGCGAGGGCCGGTGGGCTGGGGGAGAGCTGCACTGAGTTGGCGGGGAGAAGGGAGTCCGAGGGGGCAGCAGTCACGGGTCTCCTGGGGACGACCTCGGGTGCTGGCCAGGAGAGCCGAGTGCTGCTGCGGGGCTCGCGGGCGCTGAGCTCAGCTCCGGGAGCGGCGGGTGCGGGGTTCCGGCCTCTTTGTCTTCGCTCCCTCCGGCCAGGTCACTATCGGAGCCGCGGTGCAGCAACCCCCCGCCCCCCTCCGAGACCTTCTACCGGGCGAAGGTGCCCGAGAGCACCCTCCAGCCCACTCCTGGGAATGTCTCTCTCCCGGGCTGTCCCTCAGTCCACTCGCCTCTCTGCCCGCGGGCCAGCCCCAGCCGCCCGAGGTCGGC